TACAAGCTATTACAATGTATACAACAGGGCGGAAATGCAAGATGGACAAAATGGCCGCATTAAACGATCCAAACTTTGTTTATGTTTTTGCTACTGCTTCTTTTTCACAGTAAGGCTTATTAAACTTTTAAGGCAACAAACTTCTAGTAGTTAAAAAGAACAAGTCCATGGTTTCCCTTACGTTGGTTTTGGGCGACTTAATCGATCGATAGGATGCTCAGATAAGGTCTTAGGATTTATTTTGAAAACTAGAAGCCAAAATACTAGAAATTTCTCTCATTTTCCTCGCCGCTCATTCGTGGCTCGACAAAGCCTTCGCTAATCGCAAACTGAAATGTCCGCGTAAACAAAGTACAACTATCGAGTACATTGTATCTGTTTTCATCACTAAAAAACTACACCTCACACTTACACGCCTCTCCGCAAAAGTTGCACGACTTAGCGCAGTGTTTCCTCATAAACTTCTTTTGGTCATTGCGGCGGCTTTCTCAGGACAGCGATCAGCGTAGTTTGGATCATCATCACAAACTGTAAATCAATGTATAAGTGTGATGTAATGAGATTCATTGGGAAGGAACTGCTCGCCAGATTGATTTTTACTTAGTTGCCCGTACTTTTCCTCGCATGAGGAAAACATTCTATGCTTAGTTACCAATTGCGGGTTGAGCAGTAGCTGAAAAAAGAAAAATAGAAGATCAATGAAATGACGAATAATATGGCACCTGCAATAAATAGCGGAAGCTGTAAGCCCACAAAACTCGACTTCGCCCATTCCGGACGAACATAAATCGCTTAAGAAGTTAGAGCTCGCCGACAACTAGAAACATGTTCAGTTTGAACACTGAAATTAGAGAGTTGATAAATATTTCAAAAAATGATTGCAAATTCAATTTGCGTTTTGAAAAGAAATTTATAAAAAAATATTATTATTTAGTTGGTTATGTAATAAGTTCAAATATTAATTGATATCGCGTTAAATAAGGACAGCGCTGTAAACGCTTCTTATTGAAGCAAAAAATATAAAAACGGACAAAAAAAAACTTACCCACTGGTGCCGGTGGCTTTATCGCCTCTGAAGTAAATAGAGATTTGTTTTTAAAATTAGGTCATTAAATGTAAAACTGACTGACTGTAAGTTTTATCCATAACATATACGCATGCTCTATTATCTGCAATGCTCGTGTAACTGAGTATCATCACATGATAGTAATTTGTTTTGAGGTAGTTTAAGTTCAATACTTGCTTGTATTTTGCTAGCATCAGGTAAATAAAATGGAGAACTCTCTGCACATCAAGTCAAATACAATTATATTTTGGAGATTCACTTCAACATTGTCTTGTTCAGGTTAGAGTATTAGACTATTTTTCATTAGAGTATAAAAATAGCACCTATTTTTCACAACCGCGAATAAAATTTCGCAGTTTTGCAATTTAATTGGCCAACTTACCAGTTGTGAGTTGTGCAGTCGCTGGAAAGGAAAATAACATAAATGTAAATAAAAAGACAAACATCATACCCACGTCAGTTACAACGATTAATCATGGCATGAAGGTCATCCCAGCAGATCAGGGACCTGTTCAAATATGATTTTAATTCCTTGAAATATTTAACAAGGGCAGCAATCCCGATGACAATGCCATTGAAGGTATCTCGGTCTATCTACCAGGGAGATAGACCAAGATACCGTCAGTCTGTATACTTTAATAAAACACAAGAGTATAATCTCTTGTAAAACATTGATAAAATTGGCGTACATGTTCCTTATATTTAATTATTCTCTCATTTTAAATTCAGAAGCACAATTTGCATTATTAACTAATGAAACAAAAACATCTTCAACTTACATGCTCCCTTGCAAAATTTGCACGACTTTGCGCAATGCCTCCTCATAAACTCCTCTTGGTCTCTGCAATAGTTTGTAACGGCAGCTTTCAGAGGGCAGCCATCTGCATAGTTTGGATCATCTTCACACACTGTCAATAAACAACGTGCCGCTGATTTATCGTAGGATATAATGTCGATCAATCAATAATTCATAGGAATAACCAAACTATACATAAAAAATTGAGTAGCTTTGGAGCTGGTAGGAAAACTACGTAAAGCGAAGTAAATTTAGAATGGTTCTATTTCTTCCAAATTCTATAGAAGGTAATTTTAAGAAAAAGTTTTATGAAGAGACAATATGAATTAAAAGGTTCACCTATTAATTGTTCTCTTGAAGTCATTTTTTTCGATTGTTAGGGAAAACACACACTTACCAACAGGTGACGTGGGCTTTTCACTCTCCCTCCCTGAAATAAAGAAGAATGTTACCTTAATGTTACCTATGCTGGCGATATTGGCTATCTTCAACTTGCTCTCATCTCTTAATGTGCCAAAGGATTACTGTATGTTGCCTTCCAAACCATGAAACAATTTTCGGCGGGATGTACTTTAAAGTTAGCCTCAAATTTAAGCAGAAAGTCTCAAATGTTGTCAATTCAAGTGATGCACGATACTCTATTTGACTTTTTCTTTTCACCACAAGTCAATTTGAAGTCCGCTCTGAATGATTCCGTAAAAGTGGCGAGGTGGATGTTTTGTAAACTAATTCCGTTGTGGATTGTACGTAATTTGTGAGACACATTGCGCATGAAGGCAGCAAAATGAAGTTGGCAACAGCTAAGCAACAGGAATCTGCCTACCGGGCGGGCACTCTGTGCGTTCAACTCCAGGAGTTTCAATAACGTTTTCCATAAGCAGCTTCTTATGTTGTAAAAGGCAACTGAGTCAGGAATGGGAGGCGTGAGGCAAAATCCAAATACGACAGCGTGCACGCAGACTTAACAGACGACAGTAAGAGCTCAGTAGGTCTTATGGGCAGCGGTATACCGCTCGCTTGTAGCGGCTTTTATTGACACACCTGGTCAACCCTCTCTTAGCAAATACTCGATCACGCGATTACCTTCTACTCGCAACCTCTCCAGAAAGGGAGCCGGTAACAAACGTCTTTCGGCAAGAACAAACATCAAACATATTACCA